AACTGCCTGACTGGAACTCAGAGCTGTGCTGGCACACCCAGCAGAGAACACCACTGGCGGCGTAAGCAGGCAGCAGTGGGAGCCTGGCTCTGGCGGGCCTGAGGGTGGCTACCTTGGACCTCCAATCCTGACAGAATGTGCTCAAGATGAATGGGGACACATGGGGCTCCCATTCAGCCTATACCACATGGCAAGGGAAAAGAATCCAGGTCGCAAAGCCCAGAGGGAACGGGCAACCTGGGGGCAACATCCCACCCGCTCCCGAGGCAGGGAACTGAGACCCACACCTAGGACAAACTCAGCACACATGCCCAAGACGACAGGACTGAGGTGGATGGCCAGAGACCATGGGAAGAGCAAGAACGGAGTTCCCAGAGAGCTCATCCAGTGCCCAAGAGCCAGAGGCACCGGGTTCTTGGCAGACAGCACAGGGCCTGGCTGCCTCTCTCACTCCCGATCGGCTCCCTACTTGGGGCTGCAGTGGCACATCTTCCTACAGCATCTCAGGGACACCACACACACACCTTCAGGCATTGTGAGGGCTCCAGATGCGCTGGGTGCGAAGCAGGCGCATGCACTGAGGCCTGTCGCTCCCGAGCCCCCAAGCCATAGGGACAGACCTGTAGGCCCGCCCACAGCCCCAGCATCTCACTTGACTGGACGAGGCTCCCTATTGAGATGATGAACCCTGCGCGGCTCGACTGAAAAACTGACAGAAGACCACCCCGGTTGTTCTGTCTCAAAGAGCAAGGGGACCAGGGAATAAATAGGGATCTCGGGTTCCTCCGCTGTAGCTTGCAGCTGTTTTCCCAGAACAAGAGCTTCACTTGATGGCGCGGGCAGCAGGCTGAGTCTGGGCCAGCAGAGCCTCGCTACCCATGAGCTAGGGTGCTGGTGGGGCAAAGCGGCAGGGTGCCCAGGATAGTTGGAGCAGATAAAGGGAAAGAGTGGAAAGATGGCAGGCATGGCTCCTCACCCCACACTTGAGCCCAAAACTGAGGACGGGAAATCTACCTTGGGTGGGTGGGCTATCATCCTGGCTTCCTGACTTTCTGTGCCTTGAATCATGTGCCGAAAGTGGGCACACGGAGAAACAGGCTCTCACGGCAACTATGAATTTTACATTCCAAGTGACCTGTGCAAAGACACTCTTGGGATGAGGGGGTCAGAATGGATATGAGCAGGTGGGCCATCAGCCCCTCACAGAACAGGAAAGCTGGTGGGAGCGCTCTGAAGGCCAGGCAGGTAGTTTGAAGAACTGATCCACGAGAAGGGCCCAAGGGAGGTGTCAACTCTGAGATTTTTAAGATTGGCAGTGTCAGCCGGGCATGGTGGCACACAGCTGTAATCCCAGCTCTCAGGGTGGCAGAGGCAGATGGGTCTTTGTGAGTTCGAGGCCAGTCTGATCTACAAAGGCAGCCCAAGACAGCCAAGGCTACAAAAAGAAAACCGTCTTGAAAAACCAAAAAACAAACAAAAGACCTACAGTGTCAGTGAGAAGTCGAAAATGCAGGCAAAGAGGGTAGAGGCCTAGTTTTCAAGGCTTTGGTAAAAAGCTGGTATAATGGCACACATGGGAATCTCCCATAAAAGATAACTGAGTTCAGAGCCAGCCCAGGCTGCATAGTAAGACCCTGTTTCATAAAGCCAAAACTCCAAGAATGATTTAAAAGTCAGAAAAGCAAAATTTACATTTTTTTTAAAAAATTAACTTCATATTCTAACATCAGTTGTAGGAGCTGGGGAGATGGCTCAGCAGTTAAGAACAATTGCTGCTCTTGCAGGAGAACCCAGGTTCAATTCGCAGCATCCACACGGAGACTCGAAACTCACTGTGACTCTGGTTCCAGGAGACCTAATGTCCTCTTCTGGCCTTCGGGGCCATCAAGTAGGCCTGTGGTATACATACATACATACATGCAGGCAAATACAAATACACACACACACACAAAATAAATCCAAAAAAAAAACCAAGCCAATTGTAAGCATGTTTCTGAAGCCAAGAGAACTGACAACAACCTGGCATAACAATGGCAGTGGGTTGTGTTAATGTGTGTTTTCACCAGCCCCCGGTGATGACACAAACCTGTAATCCCAGGACGCAGGAAGCAGAGACAGGAGGATGAGCTACACAATCCACCCTGTCTCAGACAGAGAAAAACCAAATCCCTGTATTGCGTACATACAAACATGTCAGGGTGAAATGACAGGTCTGGAATGTGCTTTAGGATGTGAATGGGGGAAAGGGACAGCCAAGCCAAGGTGGGAATGATGACTGCAGAAGAGGGCTGCATAGGCAGAAACAAAATCTCCCTTTCACGTTTGTAAAATTACTTCACAGTAGAAACTTTTTAAAAATCATCTGTTACATTTCCTACAATAACGATTCACAAAATCAAAAGAAACATTTTTATCATACTGGCAGCCCAGGCTCTTTCATTGTAAAGAATAAACCCGATGGTGTTGACAGAGAAAACGCAAAGTTACGAAATGTTGCGTCTTAAGAATGTATTAAGTCAAAGCTTTTACATCTTTTTTTCCCCTGCGCTCTTATTTAAATTCCTCCACAAGCTACTGGGGAGATTTCCCACAAGTGCTCAGCCACCATGCTGTGCATTCATTCCAGCTGTTGGCAGCGCTTTCCCTGCGGCACACAGGCTGCAGTGGCACCCTCAGACAAAACTGGGAGGTGGGGAGAAGCTGGGGAGCATGGCCGACTGCTGCCATCGAGACCACATTCAATGAAGTCAAGATCAAAGTCCCTGTCCTCAACCCAGGTTTCACCACCCCTAATGTTATTTTGTAGCAAATACTCCTGGGCTATAATCTAGGGGCCATCTATCTCCTCCAGGGAGGTAAAAGCTCCTGCCAGACCGTTGATGATCCTTCCGTGAGGATCCACCGATTCAGCGTGGGTAGAGAATTTACCTACCCTAAACCTTCCTGATAGCTCAGGAAGGGAAAAGAAAAAACCAAAAGCAAGCAAACAAAACCCCCAAACCTGTGCGGTTCTGAACCTTGGCCTCTGGTGTTAACTACCTTCAGTAACAGTATTTGTTTGTAACAAGCACAGTAAGAACCCACTAGGATTCTATTTTTCAAGTTAATTCACTAAGTATTTACTTCCCATCAAGCTCAGAAGCAGCAAAACACTAACTCTTCTATAATTCAGACCTAATGGCTTTCCATTCTCCTAAACTTGGAAATACGATGGAGCCTCTTTGAGGAGATTGTATGGAAAAAAAAAAAAAGCGGGGGTTCCTTTTAAACAAAATTAAAAGCCTTGGTGTGTACAATAAAATGGAGCTTCACTCCAGCCTTGCAATTACGGCACACTGGCCCACCTGAAACTTGGGTTCCTTCCCAGCCAGCCATTAGCCAAGAATTATCCTACAGGCATCTCTTTTCTCACCCAAGGCTCTCTGGTTAGAGGGGACTGTCTCTCCCTCAGGCCACAATGCGGAGGCCCACGCAGCAGCAGCCATCTTCAAAGCTGCCAGTGACCAAATCGAACCGGTTGATCCAGAAGGCTACCGCATTTTTTTTTTTTTTGAAAGGCAACAAAACATCCCCTTGCAGAGCACACAGTAGGCTCTTACTTCCACCCTACCCGGGGACTCACTGGTTTAATCCGCATCAAACAATTACTTCGAACCATAGGTCAAGGTCAAAGGGAGCGGGAGCCACTTCTCCGTAGGAGTGCTCAAACAGGTTGCCCTAATGCTTGCTGGCTCCCGGATGTTAAAGGGCGCTCTCTCTCTCTCTCTCTCTGCCTGTCCTCAGAATGAAGACCCATTGTGGCAAGCTGAACGAGTCAACACGCAAGAGAGAGGAAAGCCTAGCCTCGTCCCCCAAGGAAGTCACTAGAAACCGACACTCTGGAAAAACGTACGGCCCCGGGGCTAAGGTTTTCTGGCTTCCTCCACAGCGCTGAGCTGGGGGATTCCCACTCGGGCAGGAGGCTGTCCCCGGCCACTTCGCGGGGACACCTCCAGACCCCAGCATCTGCCGCCAGAACCCGGGCACCTCCCAGGCGCAAGGTTAAAAAAGGGTCTTCAAATCGCTGGAAGCCCCCCCCCCCAAAAAAAAAGGCATCTTAGAAGTTGGTCAGCGGGCGTTCGAGGAGCCCCATGACATCGGGGAGGAGGCGCAGCAGGCTCGGGGCAGGCAGCGTGGGGAAACCGGGAAGATCTGGGAGGCTTCCAGACCCCGCAGCGGGGAAGTCTGGGGAGGCCCCAGGGCCGAAGCGCCATAGGTCAGGTGGGCAGCAGGGAGGGCCCCGCGGGCGCCAAGCACAGCCTGGCGGACAAAAGGGGCAGGCTGAGCCCGAGCAAGCGGCGGGGCGGCCGGGAAATGGGAGCCACGTGCCCGGCGGGAGAAGGCGAGAAAGCCACCCGACACTTGACTGTTTTCCCCCAGCCCGCGAGTAAACCGCCCTGCACTCGGGCTCGGGGAGCGGGGTGGGGGGAAACGCGTTCGCGTTTTTTAAGTTTTCTGGAACTTTTCCAGGGAAACGGGCAAAAGCCGGTGGAGAGGGGTGCCACGGCGGCCGCCCGGGCTGGGAAATAATCTCCAGGGCGATCAAGCCCTTGAATGGGGAGGGGCGGCCGTCCGGCGTGGAGCTGCGTCCCGGCGGCCGATCGCGGTGCCCGGGGATGGGGGGCGGGAGGGGGGGGACCCCGGAGTTCGGGTCCCAACCCGGCCAGTTCCCCGCCCCAGGCCCGGCGTGCTTGGGGCGCCCCGTTGGCTCCGCTCTCGGGGCCGGCGGGAGGAGCGCTGCGGGAGGACGACGACCCACCGCAGGCCGGGCCTGGGCCACCCCCACCCCACCCCCCGCGTCCCGGCCGGGCTGCCCCGGCGCACCGGGCCTCCCGGCCCCGAGGCCCTGCCCGTCCGCCCCGAGGCCACGCCGCGGCTCCACAGGCCCCGCCGCCCTCGCCCGCCCCGCCCGCCAACCGCCAACCGCCGCGGCACGAGCGCCGGGCGCCGCGCGGACTCACCGGGGCCGGCTCCGGAGTACATGGTGGCGGCGCTGCCGAGGGCCCCGGCACAGAGGGACGGCCGCGCGCTCCACGGGACCCCCGACGCCGCGAGCCGCGAGGAGCCGCCGGCCGCTCGATCCGCCCCGGCGCGGCCGCCTGGCAGAACAGGTTTACCCGACGCGGCCGGGGCGGCGGGCGGAGGCGGCGGGAGCGGAGGGGGAGGGGAGCGGGAGGAGGGAGGGGAGAAGGAGGGGCGAGACGGACTACGAGGAGGGGACGGCTGGCAGGGAGGGAGGGAGAGAGAGAGAGAGAGAGAGAGAGAGAGAGAGAGAGAGAGAGAGACGGAGACGGAGGGAGGGGGCGGGAAGGAGGGAGGGGACGGCGGAGAGGATGGGGGGAAGAGGAGGAGGAGGGGAAGGTGGCGGGGAGGGAGGGTGCAGGGGAGGAGGTTGGAGGCGGCGCGCGCCCGCGGGGCGGCGGGACGGGGAGCGCGGTGGCGGCCCCCCGCGCGCTTGTCCTGAGTCAGGGGGGACCCCAGAGGCGACCCGGGGCAGCACGCGGGCCGAGACCTTTCCCGGGACCGAGCGAGGCGACGTCTGGCTAACGGGCGCGGCCAGCCCAGCGCTGCGACCCGAGTCCGAGTCCTCCCGCGCCGAGCGAGCGGCAGAGCCCGGGCGTCCCGCCGCGCACCCGCCCCTGCACCTCGGCCTGGCTCTTTAAGTTATTAACGAAACGGCGACGGGAAGCTGGCTTCCCCACCCAGAGCTTGAGCCTGGACGCGGCCGGGCCCGTGCGCGTGACCACACCGCCACCTCCCGGCGCGCCTCGACAACCTAGCTAATCCCAATAAAAAAAAAAAAAAAAAAAAAAAAAAGCACCCGAGAAGCACGGCGTGGTCGAGATTGATTTTATCAGCTGTCGGGGAGCAGATCTGGTCCCGGGGTGGGGGGCCCCCTTGCTGGGCTCAGAGCCCCCCCCCAAGCTCTGCTCTGAACCCCCCCCCAGACCAGCAGGCCCCGAGCACAGCTGTCTTTTTTCCCCACTTGTTGCTGACACGTCCTCCGCTCCTGTCCAACTGCCTCTGGAGCCTTTTCCGTGCAAGCGGCAGTGTCAAGCTGCCGCCTCGCCCCGCACACGGCAGTGTCTCTAAAGCCCACGCTTTTGGCCCAAGCCAAGACAAACAGGGTCCCGCCGCAGGGGCCCCAGCATCGGGCTAGGTTCCTTGTCCTGTACACTGCTGGAAAATAGCCCCAGGGGCGAGAAAAGCATCTCTCCCTCCGATAAACGTGGGAAGGAGGAGGAAACTAAGCTAGATGAGGTTCTGCAGGTCTGCCATCCCGGCCACTCAGAAGGCTAGGGTAGAGAGGAGACAAGTGATTGACGCAAACGGGTAAGCAGCCATCCCTGGCCCTTGTGGCCGTCACTTATGGTCACCACCATTTTGGGGATGGAGACAGAAGAGGTTGTTGCTCAGGACCGGCTCAGCAGTAGAGCACTGACTAACTACACGGCACCTGTGTTCCCTTCCGGCACTGTCCCCCCGAAAGCCATGAAGTCTGTTGGGGGGGGCATGTAGTAGCTGTTGATAGGGTGCTTCAAGAAGCACTGTTCTCAATCCCCAACACCCCCAAAACGGAGCAAGATTACACATGCCTAGAATCTCAGAACTCAGAAGGTGGGGGCAGGGTTCAAGGCCAGCCTCGTACACAAGAGCTGCGTCTCAAAAAAAATAAATAAATAAATAAATAAGAGCTGAAGTGAAATGTGTTTCTGAGCCGCAGGAAGCGTGGGCACAGCGGGCATTGCTTGCTCATCACAGGGAAGATGGACACCGTGGGCACTCTCTCCAGAGTGGAGGGAAGAAGAGAAGGGTGTGTCTGTGGATGGGGTCCAGTCAATGCAGCTAAGCGCAGCAGCGTGGTTGGCCCTCAGCCAACAAGCCAGCAAGCCTGGCAGCGCGACTTCGTTTGTAAGTTTCTAAGCCTCCAGGTGTGCCGCAGGAGGCTGAGGCCGTACCAACAGTCCCTGCCTCTCAGGAAGAGGAGGAGGAAGACCGGGGCGGAGGGAAAGGTCCCAACGAGCAAAGTGTCCAGCGATGCCTTTGTAGGTAGCCGCCATCCTAAGAACAGCAGAGTGGTGGCTACGGTAAGTGTCAAGCCAGCAGGGAGGACTGGTGTGGAGCATGGCCTCCGGTACCTGTGGTTCCAACACGCCCTTCCACCAGCCATGTTTCACACGGAGGTCCAACGGCTGCTCCTTGACGGCACAGCCCTAGGGCCTGGAGGAAACGCTGCAGGCTCTGCAGTAGGATGGAGGCTGGGAAACTTTGTTTCCAGGCAGGATAGTCTCAAGCTTGCTGGACTGTGTCTCTGCTGAGACCCAACACTGCTCTCTGCTGGTAGAATGATGCCATTGCTGCCTCTCGCTCACCTTCCACAGCTTACTGTCCAGGGCTCACACCCAGCCACTGGGCTTCTACGCAGCAGCCGCAACACCAGCAGCTCTTACCTGTCAGGTGAGTCTATTGCAGAGCGTCACCTATGGGGACAGGAAGAGTCACACCATCTGTGGCGCTCGGGCCCTGTGTTTATTACCTGGGTGAGGGTGTGTGGGACTTGACCCCCAGTGGTCACGCCACTGTGAGTCCTAATCCTGTACGCTCCATGTGCCTGAGAGATGCGAATGCTGTCAGGGTCGGAAATGCAAAACAGGCCAGGGGCAACATTCCTGCTGAGGGACCTGGAACATAAGCAGACACTCTATAGAAGGGCTCCAACCCTGCCCTGATCCCCGTGTTTCCCCTGTAGTCATAACTGAGTCACCCTGTGCATTAGTGGGGACTGCTTCAGACCCCTGGACTGTGTGCCCTCCAAGTCACGCTGAAGTTTTCACCCAAGCTGGTGGAGTGAGAGGTAACGAGGGCGGGGGTTGGCACCCTTATATAAAAGGAGCATATTGCACACCTACAGTCCTAGCACTGGGGGGCTGCAGAGGCCTGGGCTGCATAGACCCCACCTCAACAGAGACCTAAGAGCTCCTTTAGCCCTTCAACCACATGAGGATGCAGCAAGATGGTGTCACCTAAGACCATGAAGTAGTTATCATCAGACACTAGGGTTCCTTCCTTTGGTTTTTGTTTGCTTGGGGGGGGATTTTTCCCCCCTTTCAGACAGAGTTTCTCTGTGTAGTTCTGGCTGTCCTAGAATTTGCTCTGTAGACCAGGCTGGCCTCAAACTCAGAGATACACCTGCCTCTGCTTCCAAATGCTGGGATTAAAGGTGTGTACCACTACTCACCAAGCTTCCTTTGTTTTTGGTTTGTTTGTTTGTTTTGAGACTGGGTGTGATGAAGTCTAGGTTGGCCTCAAATTCACCAAATAAATAGCTGAAGCTGGACTTGAACTTCGATCCCCCCGCCTCTACCTTCATGACCACACCTGGCTCTCTTTCCTTTCTTTTCTCTTGCTCAATCACTATTTCCCTTCCTTCCTCCATCCCATCCGTCTTTGTCTCTGTCTTACTTTAGTGCCCCAGTCTCCCCAGTAGGCCTTGGGTTTAACTCCCGGCACTTAAAATATATATATATATATATATATATGTGTGTGTGTGTGTGTGTGTGTATGTATATATATATATATGTATATATATGTATGTATATATGTATGTTTGTATGTATATACTTATATTTATACATATATTTGTCCACATATATATTATATATGTATATGTATATATATATTGAGAGAGAGGGAGAGTGTGTGTATGTGTGTGTCTATTCTCAGACTTTCCTGCAAGCCTCCAAGTACAAGAAAAATAGCTAATATGTGATCACCTGTGGTTAAACAGATCACACAGCTGGTTAAGCAGCTGCAAGATTCGGATACAAAGTGACCCAGTCACTATAACTGCTGTCTCTATGACTAAGCCCCACTGCAGAGATGCCCAGGTCACTAGTGAAGCATAATCTAAAGGTCTGGGAAGGTGCCCAGATCATTCACCGTGGGCTCGAGGTGTGAAGGACTGCAGGGAGGTGGCGCAGCTGTGGTGGGAGCCTGGGTCTCGGGGTATGATCCGGAGGCCTGCCTGTTTCCTGTCAGCCGTGAAAGTGAAGAACCTCTACTAACACACCTGCCACCACCTCCTTGGAGCCAAGTGGATGTGGATCAAACACTCCAAAATCACAAGTCCAGAGAAATCTCTCCTCTCCTGTGGGGGTTTCTGTCAGGAATTTAGTCACAATGGGGCTCAAGCTGGCTGATACAGTCTTGAAGAGTACAATTAGGATGAAAATTCATTTCTTCTTTTTCTTTCTTTCCCTCCCTCCCTCCTTCTCCCCCTTCCCTCCTCACCCCCTTCCCTCTTTCTTTCTTCCCCAGTGCTAGGGATCAAAGCCAGGGAGGGCCCAGGGCATGCTATATCATTTCTCTCCCTCTGACCCACATGCAGCCCAGGCCTGGAAGCACATATTCCAAAGAGGAAAAACATGCATGGAAGAGCGTGAGGAAGGGCTGATGATGAGCCCCTGGGCAGAGAGGGCTCTTGGACTGTTCTTTGCTCATTGTTCCTTTATGGGGCCCCAGATGGCAGGTGACAGCAGGAGGAAGTTGTCTTATCAGAGTTGACTCAGAACCCTTCCAGCCTAAGGCCAGAACCCCAGACAATCTCCTTCGCATAGCTTCAGGCAGGAACCCGCAGCTGACTCACAGGTGTTCTCCCAGGGCAGGAAAAGCAAAGAGCTGAAATCTACCTGGCATGCTGGCCCTAACTAAGCCTTAGGTGTTTGAAAGAGAAGTGGCCATGGAAGTTACTGTCCTACCCCTTAGCCTAATTCTCACTCTAAGACACCCGTGTGACTGGGGTGGGACTGGGTGCATGTTCCCTGGGCTTCCCTCAGAGCCTGCACTCAGATGCCAGCCTCAGCTTGGATCCCACCAAGGCCACCGGGAGCAGCTTGTGCCTTGGAGCTGTGGACCTAGCCTAGCCTGGCCTGGCGCCCCACCCAGCTTGGGAGGACCTCAGGTAAACACAGCTGCCTCAGCCAACTAACCACCAGCAGCCAGTCCTCAGATGTGGAGTCCAAAGCGCTGTTACACCGCAGAAGCTAACTGCAACAAACCACAAAGGGCTTTTCACAAGCTGGAAACAGACAAACTGGCTTTTTCACTTAATACAGTTCATTTTTGCAGTCCTGAGGACCAAATCCAGGGCCCAGGCAAGCGCTCTACTGCTAAGTGCACCATCACCCTGAAACTCACA